TGTGTGATGCCATCATGTCAATATGGACCAAACTCCCTGAGGAATGCTTCCAGCACCTTGTTAAATCTATGCCACGAAGAATTGAGGCAGTTCTGAAGGCAAAAGGGGGTCCAACCCGTTACTAGCATGGGGTACCTGATAAAGTGGCCGGTGAGTGTATATTTCTATAGAGGCGCTGCCTGCTGGCTACTGGCCCATTCAGAGACAAATGTTTTAAAAAAAATATGCTCTTTAGGTCTCGCTTAATATATCAAATTATGAAATATTGTAATTTTTTGGTCATATACACTGCAGTCTTCTCCATCAACTCCCCACGCTTCCACCTCCAGAAGTTCTATGACAACTCTGCCATAGCTGGCCTCATCACAGGTGGGGACGACTCAGAGACAACGGATCCAGGACTTTGTGCAGTGGTGCCAGCGCAGGTCCACTTTCTGATTAGTGCAGGCAGAGGCATAGCCAGAAATTTTTTATAAGGGTGGCCAGGCAATAACCAATGTACACTGAGGGGTGGCCGAAGGTAGATAGGCACCAGAACGTCTGGGTCAATCTACATTATCGCAACGGGAAAAATTAAAAACAAGCACAAGATCCATATTTTGTAAATATAGACAAACTATACTTTCCTACAGCCTTTGCTAACAAATGGACGCATATATTTCAACATCTGTGCTTTCTAAATAAAAGTAGTGGATACAATTCTTTCAGGTTTGAGTTCTGGGGCAAACATCTCTTCTTTTGTTATAACTTACCTACTTTTATCAACAATTATTCTGCATAAAATTGATAAAAGTGCTAAAATATACATAAATTGATTATTAAGTTTTTATTAAAATATTTATTTATTCAAATGAAGACTCCTAGATGACTTTCAGAGACACATAATTTTTTCTTTAACCCCTATAACACAAAATCTAGTTCTGAAAAGAGTATGAATTTCATATTTATGTTAGTACATTAAAGTGTATAATTAAACACATTGTTTTTGTTGTCAAGTAATTGTTAATATATGAAAAATGTAAATATTTTGAATATTCCACTTGAGAGTATTACTGCTGCCACCGTCTGTATTCCCCTAGCAAAAAGTGGTTTATTCCAGTATACTAAAAGTGCAATAATTTTATACTTAAAATCAGGCAGTGCACATAGATTTTACATATTCTAAACTATATTTCATATACTTAATAATAGTATAGTCAAGTGTACTTGACTATACTATTGTTTACTTTATTGTTTACTTAAGTATACTTTATTAAACTTAAAAATGTCCCAATTTAGTTCGAAGAAGTATTACTCTAGTAATACTTAAAGTACGCTAAAAGTACATTGTTCGGTATAATTTTTAAATTTATAATTATACTTAAGTATTTTTAATAGAATTCACCTCAAGTATACTACTTTTTGCTAAGGGTTAGAGAGGAAAAAATGGTAGGGGTGGCAATAGGGGTGGCCAATGATTAACTAAGGGTGGCCATGGCCACCCATGGGCCCCCATCTAGCTCTGCCCCTGAGTGCATGGAAACAAAGGAGCTGGTGGTCAGTGACAGAGCTAGATGGGGGACCAGGGGTGGCCGTGGCAACCCTTAGCCAATCATTTGCCACCCCTGTGGTCACCCCTACCCTTTATTTCCCTCTAATAAAGATGGTGGAATATTCAAAACATATTAATCTGACATATATTACATTTATGTGATAACAAAAACACTGTGGTTAATTATGCACATCAATATAGTATCATTAAAGGGATAGTTCGGGATTTTTGACATGAATCTGTATGGCATCCCCATCACCAGTGTCATGCAATCAAACTGACTTACCCCTGGCAGCATCCTGTGAGCAGAGTTCTCGTCCAGCTCTGGTCAAGCCGAAAGTAGTCCGGCAGGTTTGCTAGACCCAGCGAAATAAAACGTTTCTCTTCCCAAAACATTATGTGTTCGAAAGAGTGATATTTTTGCATCCCAAAAACATTGTAGTGGAAAAAGTCACACGTCGTTATCACTTGGTCCTATTTTCTCTCTGTTCGTATCAGTGCGCGCGACACCATGACCTGACAGCTAGGGCCTACCTGTTTGATTCGCGATTGTTTACTACTGGAGAAGATGTCTGACTACGAGAGCGACGAGGAAAACATCGACTTCCACTTAGAGCCAAAGGGATATCTTTATGAACCCGAGTACACTGGCGATGAACTTCGACAAATGGAGTTAGATCGGGCAGAAAGAGAGAGGGTGGACAGAGAAGTGATGGAAGCTGAAGCCGGAGCCGCAGGATACAGAACCTTTCCATTGATGAGGATGTCGGAGTTGCAGCAGCTGCTGTCTGCATCACAAACAACAGCGACTTCCTGCCCTCCTCAAATGTCTATGAACTTGGTTAGCTCTAAAGCTAGCTCGGTGGCGTTGCTTGTAAACGCAGCTGCTAAGTTAGCCCTGAAATGAGCTGGAAAAGTTGAGCTCGCTGTCAGAATGACGGCGCGCACTGATACGAACAGAGAGAAAATAGGACCAAGTGATAACGACGTGTGACTTTTTCCACTACAATGTTTTTGTGCAAAAATATCACTCTTTTGAACACATAATGTTTTGGAAAGAGAAACGTTTTATTTCGCTGGGTCTAGCAAACCTGCCGGACTACTTTCGGCTTGACCAAAGCTGGACCAGAACTCTGCTCACAGGATGCTGCCAGGGGTAAGTCAGTGTGATTGCATGACACTGGTGATGGGGATGCCATACAGATTCATGTCAAAAATCCCGAACTATCCCTTTAAAGATGATAAGCACACAATTCATGCTCTTTTCAGAGCTAGATTCTGTCTTTTATGGGGTAAAGAGAAAATTATGTGTCTCTGCAAGTCATCTATGAGTCTTCAGTGAAATCATAGATATAATAATCAATATACACTATATTGCCAAAAGTATTTGCTCACCTGCCTTGACTCACATATGAGCTTAAGTGACATCCCGTTCCTAATCCATAGGGTTCAATATGACGTCGGTCCACCCTTTGCAGCTAGAACAGCTTCAACTCTTCTGGGAAGGCTGTCCACAAGGTTTAGGAGTGTGTTTATGGGAATTTTTGACCATTCTTCCAGAAGCGCATTTGTGAGGTCGCACACTGATGTTGGACGAGAAGGCCTGGCTCTCAGTCTCCGCTCTAATTCATCCCAAAGGTGTTCTATCGGGTTGAGGTCAGGACTCTGTGCAGGCCAGTCAAGTTCATCCACACCAGACTCTGTCATCCATGTCTTTATGGACCTTGCTTTGTGCACTGGTGCACAGTCATGTTGGAAGAGGAAGGGGCCAGCTCCAAACTGTTCCCACAAAGTTGGGAGCATGGAATTGTCCAAAATGTCTTGGTATGCTGAAGCATTCAGAGTTCCTTTCCTTGGAACTAAGGGGCCAAGCCCAGCTCCTGAAAAACAACCCCACACCATAATCCCCCCTTCACCAAACTTTACACTTGGCACAATGCAGTCAGACAAGTACCGTTCTCCTGGCAACCGCCAAACCCAGACCCGTCCATCAGATTGCCAGATGGAGAAGCGCGATTCGTCACTCCAGAGAACGCGTCTCCACTGCTCTAGAGTCCAGTGGCGGCGTGCTTTACACCACCGCATCCGACGCTTTGCATTGCACTTGGTGATGTATGGCTTGGATGCAGCTGCTCGACCATGGAAACCCATTCCATGAAGCTCTCTGCGCACTGTTCTTGAGCTAATCTGAAGGCCACATGAAGTTTGGAGGTCTGTAGTGATTGACTCTGCAGAAAGTTGGCGACCTCTTCGCACTATGCGCTTCAGCATCCGCTGACCCCGCTCCGTCAGTTTACGTGGCCTACCACTTCGTGGCTGAGTTGCTGTCGTTCCCAAACACTTCCATTTTCTTATAATACAGCTGACAGTTGACTGTGGAATATTTAGGAGCGAGGAAATTTCACGACTGGATTTGTTGCACAGGTGGCATCCTATCACAGTTCCACGCTGGAATTCACTGAGCTCCTGAGAGCGACCCATTCTTTCACAAATGTTTGTAAAAACAGTCTGCATGCCTAGGTGCTTGAATTTATACACCTGTGGCCATGGAAGTGATTGGAACACCTGATTCCAATAATTTGGATGGGTGAGCAAATACTTTTGGCAATATAGTGTATGTAGATGTTAGTGCTTGTAAATATCAATTTTATGCAGAATGATTACTGATAAAAGTAGGTAAGTAATGACAATGGAAAAGATGTTCGCCCAAAATCTGAAATAATTTTATCCACTATACCTTTTATCTAGAAAGCACCGATGTTTGAATATATTCGCCTATTTGTTAGTAAAGGCTGTGGGAAAGTATAATTTGTCTTTATTTAAAAAATATGGACGTTTTACTCGTTATTTTCCCTGTTGGAACAGTGTTGACCCTGAGGTTCTGGTGCCTTTCTACTTTCGGCCACCCCTCAGTGTACATTGGTCATTGCCTGGCCACCCATATAAACATTTTCTGGTGGACATTTGCAGAAGCAGATCTATCCCTCTGACTCTGTTGAACATCTAGAGAATGGACATTTAGATAGAGGACTCGAATAAGTGCCTGGTTGTTCACCTGAATAACTAGACTGGACTCTGTATAGGAAATGTCAGAGCAGACTCTTCCTGTTTAGGAAACTGAGGTCTTTTGGAGTGCAGGGATGCACTAGAAAGCAGTCCTGTTGTCACTTTATAAAGGGGACCCCTGAGCGTCGACCTTGACCCTGACCTGTACTGAAGCCACCTCCAGGGCCACCTTTTTACGACACTGAGGCCCCTGAGGATGTTTACGAATGCTTTGGATTTCCCGCTTCAGTCATTCCTTCAGAGAATTAAAAAAAGGAAAGAAAAAAAATCTACAGTATAAAAAGTTGGAGGCGTGAAAGTTTCCCCTCAGCCTTTTTTTTTTTTTTCTTCTTCCCTCCCTCGGCCAATAAAAAGGGCCGCCTTTAATAAGCGGACTCCTCTGATTTGTCCGGATCCGCTGTCCGGGACGTGAGTGACAGCCCGGGTGGAGGGTTGGTAGATTTTGTTTCCCCCCCTTTCAGCTTTGCCCCCCTCTGACTTGAAGGGACTCTGTGTGACGCGACTGAAGCAAAGGGGGCCACACTAGAGCCTCGCAGGCGCAGCGGTGCGGGACAGTTCAGAAGCGCAGAGAGGAGAGGCGCACTGCGGGGAGACAGACGGAGCGCACCCGTCAACCAGCTGGAGGAACCCTACTTTAAAACCCCTTATGGCTGCTTGAGACACACCAATACACCCCCCCTCCCCCTTTTCTCTCTTTCTCTTGGACTCCTTTGGACTTCTACTTTTTTTTGGTCCTGACCAGAAGTTGTTGCAAGTCTAATTAAGTCGCTCCTAGTTGAGAAGTGAATCCACTTGCAGTGGACGGCGCAGGCGGCCATGGATACCCATATAAGATGGAAAGATAAACGGATAATAAGGGACACCCCGATTACTTTAGCGGTGATTCTGCTTTTTGTCACGTCGTTTGCAGATTCAGGTAAGATGCAGCAGACCTGGGATGAGTGTGGATCAGCTTTGGAAAAAAGTTTTTCCCCTCAGTGGGTCACTGATGAGCGCCCCTCCTCCTTTATTGCTGTCTTTCCTTACCCAGCTTGCAGGATTAGACACTATTAAAGATTGAAATAGCTGATTTTGTCATAAAGTTTTAGTTAATTAATTTTTTTTTTTTTTTTTTTTTTTTAGAATTGCTGCTGTGCATTCTGTTATCTGGTTCAGTGGCGCTTTTAATGGGGAACGAAATGGGGCAGGGGCCCCTTTTACACATTTGCCAGCCCATAGTGTGTATAATGCATACATTATAAAACACACAGATGAAAAATAACTTAGTTATAGATGATAAGTATTTATTGATGATTTGTTTTTATTTATATACCTCATTCTGTTTACAGTATGTCTATAATAAATAAATTAATAATAAAACTCCTGACATTCCATCATGGCTTTTACTTCGTTGTGAGTCATCCCAATTGTTAGTTGTCACCATGTTGTCACTACTTTTAAAACTTTATGCAGTTCCCTCTTACTATTCTCTCCCATCTAGAGCTAACTAATTACAGGATAGCAGAAAGGTATTTATTTATTTATAATTATAAACACTTATCAAAGGAGACTTTCCCAAAGATTCATATTTGAACTACTGTGTGGATTTTTTGCAGGAATATTTTTTTGTGGAACACTTCAAGAGAAATCAGGGAGGCGTTTGAAGCTTTTTTTTTCTCTAAACAGATGGGGAGGATGAGTAGAGCTTTCACAAGAGGGAGGGGCCGTAGCTCATCTGGAGTGGTAGGGTGGAGCAACTTGAAGGTCTCCAACACCAGGGGACATGGTTTCCAGAGTCCTGAAGTCCCTGGGTTTCCTTTCGTCCACATGCATTCATGTAGAAAAAACAGCCTTTCATTCAAATGTGATTCAGAAATCTGAACCCAATGCATTGTTATTCTAAGGAGACATTTAGGGCTTGGTTCTGGCCTATAAGCTTTAATAGATTTTTTAAAATTAGAATCCTAAGTTGGCCTGGCACTGCTGGTGGTCTCTTGTAATGTCCCAACATAAGCATCTGAGCTGAACAGCTGGCTTCTTCATTGTGTTTTACACTGAAAGTGGTGACAGCCTTTCTTGTGAATTTGGTGAATTACGGTGAAATCTTAAAACTCAGGTCTCCCATAATAAGGTCATAATACGATATTTGAATTTAGATGGCTTTTGTGAACCAGAGAGGCTGGAGCTGGATGATGGTGCTGCAGGCTTGATTAAAAACCATCTACTGAATTGACTTGTGAAAGGGGTCCTTAGGGCACTGGTACACTTCCTGAAACATGGAGCTGACATATGCCAAATGGGTAATACTTGATGATTGAGTGGTAATAACATGTCATGAACACGGAAAAACCTGTGTAAAATAATTACCCCCTTCATCAGAGGATGAACGTTTTTCAATCATTCTGCTCTTTTGATTTGGCTTTCAACAGAACAGGGTTAGTAATCTTAAAAGCTGTAAAAGAGTAAAAAAAATGATCTTTTGATTCTTTTTTACCCTTAAGGCAAACGAAGAGTTATCTCGGGATATTAACTTTTTTCCAAATTTTCTTTAATGATATGCCTCTTCTCACCCATGCTTAAAATCCACTTAGTCTCCGAGGCTAACCTTTCATACATTTGTTTGAAAATGCCTTCTCAGATAAACCATTAGGGCTTTATATGAGTCTTAAACTCTGTTGTTGTCCTGCTGCTTGAGAGTGTTGACATCTGCGATAAACATGGTGAAACAAAGCATGCTTTTGTTATATGTATATCATACCGATCCTAATGCGAAGCTTGAATAAGACGTCAGTTTTAATTAAAAACTGTAGTTGAAGTGGCAATGATTGTTGGTTAACAGCGTTGCTTCACAGCAAGAGGGACTTCAGTCCCAGCTGCGAAGGCCTTTCTGTGGGAAGCTAGCATTTCCTTCCTGTCCATGCTCTCCAAAATATGAATGCTAGGTTAATTAGTGATTACTCATGGAAAGAATGACATTATGAGGACATGGTTGTTAGATTCAAGTCCTGTAATATTGGCTCTTTGCTATACTGGAGGAAATTTTATTATTCACAGAATAAGATGTATATGTATACCGTTTTTGGTGCTTGATTTTTGATTTGTTCTTAAGTTAGACTCAAAAGAGAGATTAATCTAATTGTCTTCCCCCCTGTGTCACTTTTACATGTTTTTGACTTTGTTACATTCTAATTTTATTATAATATTAAGTTCTTTTTTTAGAGGAAAGATTTATTTCTTAGTATGTATCTCTGGGTGTTTTCAAAAATATGCCTTTAAGATACCTTCTTAAAGCTAATAAAATTCGAATTATGTATTACTTGAAGAATCTTATTGAAACAAAGAAGACCTATAATATTCTTTTAAAGTTTAATGTCGTCTAACTTTAATAATAGGGATAAGTTTGTCCTTTGTTTAACGTCCAACTATTGGGTGTCTTATATCTTCTTTTCATGGTGATTTATTTAACCTAGAAATAATGTGTCTCTGCTTTGCTCATTTGGGTACATCTTGTCCAAATCTAACCTGGTGAAAGATGCTAACCAGTCAATATCGGACTCGCCCGTTTGATGTGGCCTACATTCCACCACAACAACCTAAACAACTTTTCAACTGCATTCAGACTTCCATAAACTTCTTTATGTTCAGTTGATGTTCCAACCACAAATGCATGTTGTGTAGATTAAACTTTTCTTTTCCTCTAAAACAATTTGGCTTGGTAGCCATTTTTGCGGGTAACATAAACTTCTTGGGTTGCCTTTTTGCTACGTGGCTAGTTGCTAACCATTCATTGTAACAAATGACTTTCAAGCTTTTTTCAACAAAAAAAGTCACATTTAGTTAAATATATATGCTCATGTTGTGATTCTCAGTTCATAGAAGGAAATATTTTTAACTGAAAGTAGCAAGTGCATGAAAGGTTTGTTTTTTGCTTTATTTTATAAATACTAACAAAAGTCCAAGTGAAAGTCTGGTTTACTTGGGAGGCCATTTTCTGCCGTCAATTAGGAACCATTAAGGCTAAGTGAAAAGTAACATTAACATCAGGCCTGTAAGTCACTGAGGTAAAGAACAAGAGAAAAGGTCAAAGTTCAGAGGTGACACTTATACCATCCATATTGTTGTAATTATGCTTTTACTGCCAAAGGAAGATACTTTTTTTGATTTGTGTAAATACTGTAACTACTCCGGAAAGTTAGACTGAGATAAAGAGTAAGTTTGGTTTAATAGAGAGAAGCTAAAGTATTTTTTAAACTTTATTCTCTGCCTAGATTATAGTTTCCATTTTGAGTCTTTCCTAATTGTTTCAAAGTTATATCTTATTGCATGTGAGCAGTCATTTTTTTCCTTTTCATGTCATAAGAGTTGCTTTAATCATTCAATAGTTTAATGACAAAATGGAATAGCATAAAAATTATATTTTACTTATTTTCAGTAAATTGGTTTTAACTGATTATCCAAATGTGTCTTTTAACGATCTTTGTCCACAGCAGGAAATCCACATAGGACCAGAACCCAGTCATCAGAAATACTAAAATAACATTCTTTGAATACCTTAGGCAAATGAAAACAGGGCTGTACTTTATCCAAACCAAAAGGTAATATATGGCAGCAGTTGAGAAGCAGTTGTTTAGCGAAAACCTAAAATAATATATCCAGGAAAAAGGAGTTATGCTATAAACTCCAACGTGTTTAATCCTAATGTAAGTTCAAAAGGGATAAACAGAAGACCTGGTCTCTCTCTGAGCGCCTTCCCATCTGGATTCGATAAGTTCCATTCTGCTGTCTGCTAAGCCCTCCAAAAAGCCAAAGAAATGTCTTCCAGATGTTTTCCTCTCATTCTTGGTGGAACAGGGGAACCATGAAGAAAAAAAAAACACATTTTCTTTCAAGAGAAAATACGCCATTATGTGTTTGTTTCAGAGAAAATTTCCAATCAAATAATACTGACACACTTGTAGAGAGTTTTAGGGGTATAATAGCAGGATATGCCTTTTATTTAGCCATTTTTTAACCAGGGTCATTAAAAGGTTCCCTTTGTTTCTGTGGGTCAACTTTATGGCAGGGCTAAAGGTCTTCCACAGCTGGTCCACAGCTGCGTTTGATCTAGAATTGCTTTCTATCTGGATATCTCTCAAAAGGACATTTTATGGATTGGTCAATGCCCTTTAGCATCAGTTTTTTCATAAAAACAGTAAAAAAGACCCCAAAAAAGCTCATAGATTTTTTTGTGGAATGCCCACAGTTCGTACTCTTGTGGGGTGCTATCAACGAAGGCTTATCTTCATTTATAAAATGTTAGTCATTCATCTCTCTTAGTTTATGATAGCAATTAAAAGTGTCAATATTCTTTTTTCTGGTTGTTTTGGAAAACTGCAGTTTAATTATCTTTTCTCATCTATTTCATGTTCTTTGAATAGGTTTTAGCGCTGCTGGTTCTTACCCTTGTTCTATTAGCTTTATCGAGGTCATGTCCGACAATATCAGATAAGTGGCCATGAGAGAGACCAGCTTCTTGTGTGTGCCTATTGACTTGCTGCAGAGGAAGGCATCTGGCACTGCATGGAGTAGCAGTGACCCTGGAAGTGCATGTTTCACTTCAAGTCTGTAAATGCAGGCTTTGTTGAAAAGGGATTCTGTAAAACAGTTAGAAACCCTGATAACAACATGGCAAATAAATCAAAACATGCAGGACAAGTCTTAGGCACAAAGTCAGAGATAAGGACATTTTTTGTGACTCAATCAATGCATCATTTGCCATATCCTGTTTCAGATTAACATTGAGGCTTATTTATACTAATGAATGGCTGATTATTTTTCAAAGTGTTGCAGAGTCTTTAATTTTTGGCTTTTTGCTGAATCTCACTATATACATAAATGGAGATTCTATTTAAATCACAAATCAGTCCAAATTGCAGTTTGTTCTGTAGCATTTATGCA